AACAAACAGAACCCCCCGTGTCCGCAGGGTCGCAGCCCCGAGGCCAGGCCCGCGAGGCTGCGGATACGGAGATGTCCTTCGCCCACGGCCTGGGGCAGGGGACAACAACCGTGCAAACAGACGGCGCCGCTCAACCCACCGCTGCCCACAATCGCCGGCGGACTGCCAAGCCCGGGCCTCCGCAGATCGCCGATGGTGAGCGTTTTTTTTGTTTTTTGTTTTCATTCGGCGTTTCGACATTGGGGGTCGGGTTCTGGACCTCTGCATAGGTGGGGCTGTTTGCAGCAGTGCGTCCATGATGGGGGAGACTCCACCTGCTCGCAACAGGCGCCAAAAAACAGCCAAGATCTACTCCAACGGGGTGGGGGTGCGAGGGCAAGCGCCGATCGGCAAACTAATGAAAAAAAATGCCCACGTGCGCATCATGACGTTTCAGGGAGCCCCGCTCGCATCTGGCGCAAAGGGCTCGCGTTGTGACGCGCATCGCTCGGGGAGCAAAGACAGAGCCGCCCAGGACATAAGCCATGTGATGTATGACGGACCACAAATACGATATCTCAACCTGAGCATTTTCTTCGGGTGGAGGGCTCAGGGTAAAATCCATATGAGCTTTTGCACATCGAAAATCAATCCGTCTTGTGATTACCCTTTTCCCGATTCAAACATCGAAAATCAATCTGAATTCACCCTTTGCCCTCCACCCAAAGGACATGCTCTGTGAATCTCTCGCGGAACGGGACAGGGCATGCGGATTGGCCGGGCAAAATGCAGATCGCGTGCATGATCGGTGGGGCCTTGGATCAGTGCTTGAATCGATCAAGCGGTTTTCTCTCAGCTCGCATAGGCCTAAATTTGCCTCGAATTCGTTTGGCCTGCTTGCATACAACAAATTCGCACTGACGCGTTGGATGTGAAAAAGTAGCCGTGGTGACACATCGCAAGCAACTTTGTGCACGCGGTGCGCTCACGTGCGGACGAGACCGATCACCTGGCGAGACCAGTGTGGCAGTTCCCGGACGACGGGGGGGGGTCTAGTTGTTTAGGGGGGTAAGAAGGGGCATCGGAAGCTGCTGGGGGGAGGTCAAGGAGGACCCCCCCGAACAACCCACAACCCACATGACTAAGCTGCGATAGTTTGGTGGCACAAGCACAACAATTCCAGGACGCCCCTCCGCCCATACAACACGCGACGGGGGTTTCTGACGGGTCGTCCCGAGCTGCCACTGCCTACTGCAGCGGCCTCGCGCGCCGCCAGAGCCCAGATAAATAAGCTCGTCAAACTTCCGCGGCCAATTTAAAGCGCAGAGCCCCCGTCGGAAACAATACTTCACCGGGCGGGAACTCGGCCGAAAAACCGCACACGCACACATCGCGGGTGACACACAAGCAGGGGTCAGCTGCTCGTGGGTAAACTTACTCTTCTACCGTAAAGTCGTGCATGAGTGGCACACAAGCGGGTCAACCGTTGATAGCACTCGCGGCAACAAAAATACATCGTGGATGGCACCCAAGCGGGGGTCAACCGTTGAGTGGCACTCCAACGTCGTGAGCAACAAGCATCTCCCTATCCTTGCCCTCGCAGTCAGGACCCTCGACGACGACCCCATGGATACACCTACGTACGATCCGCCGCTGCTTGGCTCGAGTGCCTCGCGCATGCCGTCTTCGACGGATTTCGTACCCACGAGGTCACGGTGAGGCGTCCGGACCGCGAAGGCATGTATGTGGATATGGTCGCCGCTCGTGGCAAGACTCGCAAGGTGGCACGACTGTGGGCACTTGCTGGAAGATGGGGCACTCACTGCCCATAGCTGGAAGATGGGGTACTCGCTCGATGGACCATGGACGTGACTCCGCGCAGGCCAGACGATGGCCTACGCAAGCCCGAATTGCCAAAATGCTGCCTGGCCCAGGGGGGGGAAACATCGAGTTGGAATCGGCGATGCATCGCCGGTAGATCGGCGATAAGACCCGATAGCGAATCCTCGCGGTCCTGGGCGGGGTGGGGCTATCGGGCCCTCACCTGCGATGACTGGGCGACTGGGCGTCGATGCGTTCCCCCCTGGGCCTACTTCCGCCCCTAACGTTGCCGCTGATCTCGCTGGCTGGAACCAAAGGCGCGCGCTCTGGGCCACGCTAGCTGGCGCTGGTGCAGGCCGGCACGGCGCAGAGGGCCTAGCCAGACCCTCCCAGCAGAGGCTTCTCGACGAGTTCGCTGCCAGACCTGCCCTCCGAGAGGTGCGCGCCGTGCACGCTGGGCCCGCCAGCCAAGCTGGCCTGGTCAGCTCCAGCGCCGCTGCTGCCAGCCCCAGAACTGACAGTCCCAGAACCACCACCAGAACTGTGGAGAACCTTCACCTTCTTAACGTCGCCTCTCGAGCCCGCGCGCTTCAGGTTCTTCGCGATCATTTTTTCTATCCGCTCGAACCGGTCCTCGTCGGCGTTCGCTTGAAGCTCGTCCTCTGGCCACTGCGCCAGCACCGATGTGGAGCCGCCGAAGCGGCGGATAATATCAACGGTGGTGATGTTGGCGTTTGCTGGCTCGCGCACCTGTATGCCGCCAGCTAAGCCAATGTCGCCTTGGCCGAACTCGCAAGGCTCGTCCAGGCGCAGCGAATCGACGAAAGCTCTCCAGCGTGCCTCTGTGATCACCTGCATGGCCTCGACGACGATCTTGCCACGGTTCAGGCGGGCATAACCTATCATGTCTCTGTACTTTGCTTGGTAAGAGCAATTGAGCTGCGCGGTGAGCAAGTTGAGCAATAACACCGCGCTCACGACCATGTAGGCAACCACCGTCGCCATAAGAAGAGGTTCCTCGCGAAGACTACGGAACGCCCCTCCTTCGTACATGCCGAGGGCGATCTTAATGAATGTCCGTGCGGCGGTTGGGATGCCAGAAAAATCTCCGCCGTCCTGCTCCAGCGCATTGGCTGCACAACTCCAGGCCAAGACAACGAAAGACAACCCAAACAACGACAGAAACACGTCTGACGACACTTGGTAGCACACCAACACAAATGAAGAAACCCGGGTAGAGAGCGCTGAGATGTCGACAATGAGGCTGAAGTACGTAATAGTAGCGGCAGCACTGAGCTTTGCATGAACGCTGCGGTGGGTGCCCCCTTGGGGGCACTCTTCGGTGAATAAGCCCGCGCCGTCGAAATCTCCGTCCTTGTGTGGGAAGCAGTACAATATGGGCTCGAACGCGAGCATCGCCAGGAGAAGAACTGTCAGGAAGAGGCTGGCCCATTCTTCATAGTTGTCAAGGTATTCTGGAACTGGCACGCCGCCTATGCTGATGAACTTTCCTCCCCGCACATCGCGACACATTCGCCTTACATGGTAATACAACCAATATCCTAAATTCACCAGGTAGATGACACAACGGCACGAGCCCACGAAGATGCGCTCTGCCTCATTATTGGCAACCATACCGCCATGCGTGAGCCGGCCAGTACCAGCGATGAACACACATGCGGTGAGAAGCACAAGCACTTTGTTCATCAAGAACGTCCTTCGTGCGACGCGGAACCAAACGATGTCAGTCACCATCGTCAAGATTGGGTGCGTGATAAGTTTGGGATCGCCGTTGTCGGTAATCCACTCCAGCGCCTGCGCGAACTGCCCGCTGCTGTTTACCAGGAGATGCCTGACGAAATCACTCTGAGATCCGACATTACACAGCAATTACAGAAAAATCACGCCCAGAACCCGGACCCCATCTTTCTGCGTCATTGTTCGAGCCAGATCGATCTGTGAGGGTCCCGGGCGCGAGAAATTGCGCGAAAACACGGGGCTCGGAAGAATTGAGTCCACATGATCTCCGGGTCTGCTGTCTACCAGGAGGTGCTTGACTGGCGTAAACTCTCAACCCTAAAAACCCTGAACCCTGAACCCTAGAGGTGAAAGAGGAGGAGGAGGAAGAGGAGGAAGAGGAGGAGGCGGAGATAATCATTGACGCTGTAGTTTGCCAGGAGATGCCTGACGTAGTAGATGACGCGCCTGGTGCCGTCCTCGGTGGTGCGCGAGCGCCACACCAGGCCGTCCAGGAGGCAGGGCAGCAGGGCCGGGGCGTCGACGCAGAGGCGCCTCACGATGTCCTCTCGGGAGCGGCAACGAGGGGGGCGTCCAAGAGGAGGGGGTGCAAATCATGACCGGCGGCATGTGGGCGGCCTAGCGGGGATCCCAGGGACGTAACGAAATAAGAAGAGGCGCCATGAAATCCGAGAAGTATCATGGCCCCCGCCATGATATCCCCCCCCCTAGTCCTCGCCCCCCTCTTTGCCGCCCCCGATCCTCGTGGCGCTCGAACAGGGCGTCCATGCCGTAGTAGTAGCGGTCCCGGTCCGCCCGGATCGTGAGGAGGTCGCGGAGGATGGCCCGGGCGGCCTCGAGGCTGCCCCGCTCGATCGCCCAGAGGAGCGGCGAGATCGCCTGGGTGCCGACCTGAACCCTGAGCATCCATGCGGCGCGCTGGCCACGGGCCGCGCAGCCCACGGCCTCGCGTCGTGCATGCCATGACAATAGACACTCCAACCGCTCTATCCCTCATTGAAACAGGTTGAACAGGTGTTTGAACATGTGATAGAGATTTCCAAACAGGTGGTTTCACAACATGTTTAAACCATGTTCAGAACATACTCCGACATCTAACATATATTTGGCAACATGTTTCCTCTCCATTGATTGTCGTCCACAATCCTTGCGGATCTGCGGGCCGCTGTTCAGGTTGATGGCCTTCATGACAATGGTGGAGCCCTCCGTGATCACCCGCGTGAGGATTCGCGAGATGAGGCTGAGGGACCATCGGAAGGCCTCCTCGGCGCCGTCGTCGTCCGTCAGGCCGCGCACGACCTGCACGCAGGCGGTCACGAACGGTCCAAACAGCTCCGTCGGGATCCCGTAGCCAACGTGCCGCAGCCCGAGAGCCGATATATCCTCGACCATCTTACTGGGGTCTTTATAAATCTCCAGGGTCATGGAGACGATGCGGTCCGCGATGAAGTGCAGCCGCGTGGTGGATTGCTTGAAGAAGTCTTGGCCAGCCGGGGCGAGCGCAAAGAACTTGGTGTACACCTCTCGTCGCACCAAAGCCTGGGCGTTCTCGTCGAGGCCGCTCCAGAGCCGCTCGAGGCAGGCCTCCATTCGCGCCGGTCTGCCCGTCAACGCCTGCAGCATGCGTTCCACGTTCTCCCAGAGCCAAGACCAGGCGACCTCGTGGTTCGAGTCCCAATCCCTCGGCACCAGGGATCGCAGTGAGGCTAGCATGACCGCCTTGTACTCTGAGAGGTTCACGGCGCCCCTGTACTTCGCGATGCGCAACGACAGGACGTCGCACTCCTCCTGCAGTCGGTACGAGTTGGAGACGTTCGTAACGACGGTGTCGAAGGATGCGAGGATCTCCTTCATCCAGAGGTTCTGGCCGAAACCCATGACGGCCGCGTTGAACATGAACATCTCGTTGTAGGTAGTCGGCACTGACGTATTTTTGAAGCTGCCGCCGTCTGAATTGGCCGACCCCTTCTCCATCCCGTGTTCCAACGCCTCCAAGCCCGCCTCGGCTTTAGCGCCAGAGAACCAACTCGCTATCTTCCTCTTCCTCTTCGCGTGTTTCCCCTTTCCCTCCGTGGTGGAGTGGGCGACCTCGGAAGCACCGCTTCCTGCCTCCCCGCCCTGCTCAGCCTCGACGTTGGCGCCCTCGGCGCCCTCCGCCGCCCCCGCGAGTTCTTGCATCTTGTTGTTGGCAGTGGCCCAGCTTGACGCCAGGATCTTGATACGGTCGGTGTACTTCATGCGGACGTAGATGTAAGCACCGCCCACGTAGTTGAGCATTGTGTCCCAGCCCTCGTGAGCGATGCGAGTGAGCTGCTCGCCCAATTCCACCTGCAACAGGTCCCTGATCGCATCCCGAAACATAGCGACGCGCGGTGCGGTCACCTCGAGGTCGAGATGCTGGAAACCGAGCGTCTCGACGACCACCTTGAGCGCCTGGGGACTGTGCAGCTGGCTGATGATCTGGCTAAGACCGCCCATGAACCTCATGGACATCACGGCGCGCGGCGTCTTGAACAGGCCCTGCAGGCCGGGGGCGGAATCGAAGATGGCGGCGTAGATGGCCTCGCCGGCGGCCTCGCGCGACTCCGCGGAGCGCAGGAAGGCGCCCCACGTGTCCTCAGAGCAGGGACCGACCGTCCCTGCATCCCTAATAGGCCTACCAGGACATGTTCTTAGAGCGCTCACATATTCTAAGCACGAAACCAATGTTCTTAGAACAGAACCCCGACGTGTTGAAACAAGACGGTCCAAGCCAGAAATGCTCGAAGAACAGCTCGCGCAGACCACAAAAAGGGTCTTAGAACATCCTTTGGTGTGCCTGTAGGGAAGCCTGGACGCTGCGCCACTGCTCGAGTCCTGCACCTCCTCCGCCACCGGCCCCGCCAGGTGCAGCTCCTCGAAGACCTCGCCGAGGACCTCCTCGCCGCTGCAGCTGCCCGCGGCGCTGCCGCGCACCCCTGCGGCGCCCTCGCCCTGGCCCTCGCCCTGCGCAGCCTCGCCCGGGCTGCCTGCGGCTCCGCCCTCCGATCCCCCGCCCGCTTCGCTGCCAAGGGCCCCGCCCGAGCTGAGGAGGAAGAGGAAGAGGAGGAGGAGGGGGAGAGGAGGGTGAGGAGGAGAAGGAGGAAAAGGAGGAGGAGGGGGAGGAGGAGGAGGGGGAGGAGGAGGAGGAGGAGGGAGGAGGAGGAGGGAGGAGGAGAAGGAGGAGGAGGGAGGAGGAGGGAGGAGGAGGAGGAGGAGGAGGAGGATGACGACGAGGAGGAGGGAGGAGAGGAGGAGGAGGAGGAGGGGAGTACGAGTACGAGGACGAGGACGAGGAGGCGGGAGCTCCGGCCCTCGGGCGCCGCGCCGCCCTCCTCGACCACGGCGGCGGCGCGGCGGGCCAGAGAGTCCACGAGCTGATCCAACGTGGAGACCTCGCGTGGGCGGCAGAGACATCATGCCCACGGCCTCGCGGTCTGGACTTAGGTCGGGCAGGTCATCCTACAGGCGGGCCTTGGAGGAAAAGTAAAAAACTGGCCAGCCGGTAAGATCAAGAATCCTCGAACGAGCACGGCACGTCGCCACCACACTGTTTCTGTATCAACCGGTCTTGCATGTGCCTCCTGGAGAAAAAGGCATGCCCAGCTTACGAGCCTGGACTTCTCTGACACGGGGCGGGGCCCGCGCAGAGAACCGCCCGCGCGGAGCGTGCCCATGGGACCCCGCCTCGGTGCCCGGACCGCGAGGGGCACGGCTGCGGACGCGTCGGCCGCCCGCGGGAGCCTCGCCCGCGCCCGCCGACCAGCCGCTGGAGCTCCCGGCCTCGGGCGCCTGGTCCTCCTCCTCCTCGGCCATGGAGGCAGGCGGCGCGAGGGGGCTTCCCCCTGGGCTCCGTGGGCGGGGCGGCGCGCGGGAGAGGAGCGCGCGGGCAGTGGTGTTGGCCCTCGAGCGAGGGGGGGGGCTGAGTGGAGCGGCAGCTGGCGAAGAAGACGAGCCGCCTGGCGGCGCCGCTCGGGGAGCACCGGCGCTCCGCCCACACGGTCCTCCTCCTTCCCCTGCTGCTCCTCCGTCCCAGACTTCCTCCTCCTCCTCCTCCTCCTCCTCCTCCTCCTCCTCCTCCTCCTCCTCCTCCCTCCTCCTCCTCCTCCTCCTCCTCCTCCTCCTCCTCCTCCTCCTCCTCCTCCTCCTCCTCCTCCTCCTCCGCCTCCTCCTCCTCCTCCTCCGCCTCCTCCTCCCCTCCTCCTCCTCCTCCTCCTCCTCCTCCTCCTCCTCCTCCTCCTCCTCCTCCTCCTCCTCCTCCTCCCCCTCCTCCTCCTCCTCCTCCTCCTCCACCTCCTCCTCCTCCTCCTCCTCCTCCTCCTCCTCCTCCTCCTCCTCCTCCTCCTCCTCCTCCTCCTCCTCCTCCTCCTCCTCCTCCTCCTCCTCCCCTCCTCCTCCTCCTCCTCCTCCTCCTCCTCCTCCTCCTCCTCCTCCTCCTCCTCCTCCTCCTCCTCCTCCTCCTCCTCCTCCTCCTCCTCCTCCTCCTCCTCCTTCCTCCTCTCTTTCCTTCTCCTACCCCAACCTTTCCTCCAACTCAGTCTTCCCCTCCTCCTCCCTCATCCTTCTGGTTTCCGCCCTCTTGCGACCCCCCTCGGCCTCCCTTCCCATCTCCTCCTCGTTTTCCTCCCCCTGCTACCTGATGCGAATCGTCCTCCAGCATATCTTCCCCCCTACCCCCCTCCTGGAGGTCTCCTTTGTTCTCTTTGGCAATCAGATCCTCCCCTCTTCCCCTGGCTCCTCTCAATGCGGAGGAAGGGGGAGATGCAGACTGGCTTCAAAAGAGGGGCCCCCGCCCCGCCTTTTCCTTACACAAGGCAAACCAGAAAGGCTGCAGCCACAACGCGCACGTCACACAAGCTACGCATATGCCGCATAGTCATGCTACCCGAGAAGGGAACGTGGGGTCCAACAGGACCCTCTGAACAACAGGAGTAACTGGGGTAGGGAGGAGGGAGCATGTAGGTATATGTCCTGTGCCATAAGAGGCCGGGATGCCCGACACATACAGCAGTGCGATAACTCGACCCGAAATGGGTTGCTTCATAAGCAGGGTGTTCTGCTTCGTCTGGGCATCGAGCCGATGGGCTGCCCTGCTCGGAGTTGGAGGGAGGCAAACACTGCGGCACGGCAGCCCTCCGCGCTGCGCTGGCCAACCTGAAAGAGTTCATACTCGCTGGCGCAATGTATGCATAACCTGACTGGCGGGCAACAATTGAAACGCTGGTTGTCTGACGAACTGGCCACGAGTCCAACAACTTGGCCCGTAGTGTGGGCGGTCTGCCCGAGAGCACTGCTGTCGACAACCTGAGCTCGATGTAGGTGCCGTCTGCGCTGTGGAGATCAAAGAAGGCAACGATGCATTCAGCCTCACCGCTAAATGAAGTCTCTAAATTTCAGCGGCAAGACCAGTTCATTCGCTCCACGGCGGCGGGTCGAGGATGCCGCAATCAGTGTCGGCAAGCAAACTTGAAACAGCAAAATGTGATCGGAGTATCCGAGCACGGAAGCAGCAAACATGTAGGTGGATCCTGAAAGCGAGCACGAATCATTTATAACCAACATGTGGGAACATGTTGTGAAGTCTTGAAACCATTTGAAATGCGTCCGCTGCCCTTTGAAATCGATAGTGGGATCGACCGAGTGAGGTCGAAAGCGAGGACGATAGCGACATGACACTGCAGCGCTACATCGTGATCACGCGTCGTCGCTAACTCGAGGGCGCGTCAGCAGCATCGTCATGATCACACCCACCAAATTCACCAGCAGTTGGTCCTTTCCCCCCCACCCCGAAGCCTCCTCATCACCCGAAGGGTGGTCGCATAGGCAAACTTTAAGTGCCAGCCGACCTTGATGTCAGAAATTTGTCCTGCATGGATGAAGGGATGTACACGTCGTTCATTTCTAATCGTGCTCATTTCTAAGTGTGCCTGTTTCCAATTGTTCCTGGCCCCCTAGTGGCCAGGACGAGGCCCAGGATAGAACAATTAGAAATGAAAGGATCTTGGCCCCCCCAAGAATCAAAGAGCCTTCGAAGAATTAGGGATGAACAGTGTGTAACCCTCGGCCTGCCGCGGAAGCTCTCTGCTCTTCGTGAGGGGGATGGCCCTGGGCACCACGGGGGGGTCGCCAGAGCTGCAGGCGGGCAGAAAGGGCCCGCTGGCCCCAAGTGCACCCCCTGTCTCCTTCGCCGTCGTCGTCGCCGTCGTCGTCGTCGTCGTCGTCATCGACGTCATTGTCGTCGTCGCCTTCGTCGTCGTGGTCTTCGTCGTCGCCGTCATAGTCGTCGTCCGTCGTCGTCGTCGTCGCCGCCGCCGCCGCCACCGCTGCCGACATCGTCGTCGTCGCCGTCGTCGTCATCGCCGCCGTCGCTGCCGCCGTTGTCGTCGTCGTCGTCGCCGCCGCCGCCGACGTCGGCGTCGCTGTCGTCGCCGCCGCCGTCGTCGTCTTCGTCGTCGTCGTCGTCGCCATTGGCCGTCGCCGTCGTCATCGCCGTCGTCGTCGTCGTCGGCGTTATCTCCTTCGATTCTCCACCTCTCCCGTGCTCTCCGCTCCCCCATGCACGTGCTTCGCCTCCCCCATCCTCCTCCTCCTCCTCCTCCACCACCTCCTTCTTCTCCTCCTCCTTCTCCTCCTCCTCATCCTCCTTATCCTCCTCCTCCGCCTCCTCCTCCTCCCTCCTCTTCCTCTCCCCTCCTTCTCCTCCTCCTCCTCCTCCACCATCCTGATTCCTCCCCACCTCCTCTCCTCCTTCATCCTTGAGGCAGGACAGAGGGCACGAGCCCGCCTTGGCCCCCTTGCGCACGTGCCGGCGCAGCGGCCTCACGAAGTGCTTGATGCCGAGGCGCAGGCTGGTCAATCCTCGGGGGGCGAAACGGGAGACAAGCCAGACGAACGCACGAATTCGAACAAGAAAAAACGGCATATCCATAAACAGCTGGCGCTCTTCGAAAAGTGTTGAGCACCTTAGACGCACTCCCCCTGACTCGTCTTCTGAGATCTCTCCCAACCTGCCCTGGGCTGTTTCAATGTGGCTGATATGCGTTGCTCTGGTCTGACACACTCTTCTCCCTCTGCACTGCATTGCTCTCTTTTCGTCTGCTCTTCTCTGCCTCACTCCGTTCCACACTCTCCACGGGCATCAACTCCCGGAGACCACCGAAATAATGGAAAGTCGAACGCAGAGGCAACCCTCCGCAAAAGCACACACGAAACCTCTTCACGGCTCCACCGACAAAGTGCAAAAGCGAGCGGGTATCCGCACCCTGCCTCACCTTAAGACTGTGCAAGACCAGAGTCCCAGATTCGAGCTTTGAATATGGCGAGGTGGGCACCGCAGTGCTTACTCCGGCTGCACGCGTGGCGATCCTCCCTGGGCTGTAGACGTGCCCTGTCCCAAGCAATTTCCTCCGTAAAGAGCTGGGCTGCGCAGTAAAGGCGAAGACAAGGACGCTAAGTCCTGGCATGAGGGAGGAGGCGGGAGAGGAGAAGGACTCCATCGGAAGGACGCGAGGATGCCATAGAAGTTATACATGGGCGTCGCACGAACTCTGGTCACGCGTGCAGTCTGGCTGCTTTGGATGCTGGATCGAAGGCGTCGGCGGGAGGAAAAGGAGCTCGAACGCTCCATCGAGTCCTCCGGCGCCAGCGCAGGGGAAGATCACGTGGCCACCCTGAGCTAGGACCTTGACGGCGCGGGCCAACAACAGGCGGGCACAATAGCTGGCACCCGTACACTCCAACTCCTAACCCGCTTCCTCCTCAGCCGCAGCACCATGAAACGCCCCTAACGAAGATTCAGAAACGCGCGTTCTCGTTTTTTTTCCATTGTTTTTTTGTTTATCAAGCGCTGCGCGCTGCACTTTGGAAAGACCGAGCATTGCCGAAATGGGGCGGGGCCGCCATGCGAACTTTGCCACTGGGGCCTTCGGTGCAGCTCCCTATGGGGCCGCGAGACGTGTGAAGGGTGCGCCCAAATGGGGCGGGGCCGCCATGCGAACTTTGCCGCTGAGGCCTTCAGTGGAGCTCCCTATGTAGCCACGAGGCGTGTGAGTTGTGCGCCGAAATGGGGCGGGACCGCCATCCGAACTTTTGCCACTGGGGCCTTCGGTGGAGCTCCATATGGAGCCACGAAGCGTGTGAGGGGTGCGCCGAGATGGGGCGGGGCCGCCGTGCGAACTTTGCCTCTGGGGCCTCCGGTGGAGCTCCTTGTGGGGCCACGAAACGTGTGAGGGGTGCGCCGATGTGGGGCGGGGCCGCCATGTGAACTTTTCCATTGGAGCCTTGAGTGGGGCTCCCTATCGGGCCACGAAACATGTGAGGGATGCGCCCACATGGGGCGGGGCCGCCATGCGAACTTTGCCAATGGGGCCTTCGGTGGAGCCCCCATGGAGCCACGAAACGTGTGAGGGGTGCGCCGAAATGGGGCGGGGCCGCCATGCGAACTTTGCCGCTGGGGCCTTCGGTTGAGCTCCCTATGGAGCCATGAAGCGTGTGAGGGGTGCGCCGAGACGGGGCGGGGCCGCCATGCGAACTTTGCCGCTGAGATTTTCTGTGGAGCTCCCTATGGAGCCACGAGGCGTGTGAGGGGTGCGCCGATGTGGGGCGGGGCCGCCATGCGAACTTTGCCGCTGAGGCCTTCGGTGGAGCTCCCTATAGGGCCACGAAACGTGTGAGGGGTGCGCCGAGATGGGGCGGGGCCGCCGTGCGAACTCTGCCTCTGGGGCCTCCGGTGGAGCTCCCTATGGAGCCACGAGGCGTGTGAGGGGTGCGCCGAACTGGGGCGGGACCGCCATGCGAACTTTGCCACTGGGGCCTTCGGTGGAGCTCCCTGTGGGGCCACGGAACGTGTGAGGGGTATGCCAGAGAAAATACATGCGGAGGGCAGAGGCAAGGGAGGAGGGGGAGGAAGGAGGCGGGAGGAGGAG